TTTTATCATTCATTTTGTTAGATCTGACACCATTTCAACAGCGTGATAATATGTTACGTGAAAGCACCATTGCCCAAGATTATTGGCAATCTCTCATAGAGAATATTATGAGAGAAGAACGAGACGATTCAAGTCGCGAGAAAAAAGCTCGATTCAAGCACGAACATGATTCAGTCAAATTGCAGAAACAACAAGAAAAACTCATTGAGCTGCTTGAGAAGACTATTAATAAAAATCAAAATATATCACGAATGAATAGTTTTAACTCATCGTATGATAATTTTCCTATATCGTGAACGTATCACTCGATTCTTCAAGTCAATCTCTTTTCGTTATCAACAGCTTATTATGAAACATTATTCTTTGAAATCATACAGCTTTTTTCATTCTTTTTTTTCGTAGTTTGTTATTTTTTTTAACAATGATTTCTCTAATAGAATATTCTTTGAAACTTTTTTTTGATATTAATATCCAAACTTTTTTATGAAAGTAACCAATCAGTATTCACCTTGTGAAAGAAAATAAGTATATCATTGTGTTCTTATGGAAAAGGTGAAACTTTTTCAAAAGCAGAAGATCAAGTAACTGCCGTCTTGGTGGCTGTGGAAAGGCAAGCATCACAAGTTTTATAAATGTTGCTATGCAGATAGAACAACAAATTCATGCGATTATTGGATCTGTTTGGTTGTCCCTTTGACCATTTTTGAAAGCAATGAGACGTGGCCAGGTTTCCTAAATTCTGAACTCCTGAAGCTCTTCACCATGGGTAGAGTGTGAGTGTGGATGTAGATATGGGTGTCAATCTTCATCTCTTCCACATCCCACATCCACACCCTGATATAACAAATGTTCTAAAGAACAATCGTGAATTGTTAGATCTGTAATATTTGAAGTATCGTTAATGCGTTTCTCAATAGAATGTAATGATGATATTGATAATGTTCGGAGATTGAACATTGAAAGAACATCGAATATTTCATTATCTTGAAACTTATCACAAATCATATGAAAGGAAGTTAATGGTAATATTATTTTCAATTTTTCAATATTTTGTTTTTCAATTTCAGATAATGTTAATGATTGAAGAGAAGAAAATTCATTAGGTGAAAATATTGATAAAAATGCATGGATTTGATCACATGTCTTCATTTGATAATTTTAATGAATAAATTTGTTTTTCAATTTCGGGATTTAATTTCATTTTTGGGTGTGGGTGTGAATATCGATCTGTCTAATTGAAAGCCTACATACCCACACCCACACCCACATCCATACCCGATATCATCGAAGACTCGGGGTACATGATCTAGGAAACTATATATTAACTTATGAAACTGCTAAAGATTCAGCGGAAGATGTACTAAACCCTGAATAATGAATAAAACTATCAGAGGTTTTGTCTATGATGTGCGAGATCACAAATCACTTTACGGAACTCTCGTAAGGTTTCGTTTATAAATTCCGAAACCTCATTAAATCTGCTGAACTTCAAATGGTTGGGTGCGAAAATTAGGAACATTTGAAGTCCAGGGAAACACCTGTTTCTTTTAGAATATAATAAGCTCAAAAAAAGTACCAAAAGAACTTTTCCAGAAAGGTGGTATGTTTTTCATAGATTTATTCTGTATTAATCAGAGAAAGCACAGTTGGATGAATGAACAGACAAAAGACGTAGATTTTTATTTTCAATAAAACCTTGGCAATTCATCCTTTGTTATGACGTTTGTTGCATTATAAAGGGCTTGAATTTGTGCGTTTGTATTGCTACTGAATGTAAGTTCCGCCCAACTCATCACGAATACCCATCTTTGCTGGGATACCAGTTGATTCGAAGTTGGTAAAGTGGAACATTCTCCAATAGCCATCGGTTTGTCGCCAGCAATGCTCAAGGCTGTGTTGTACTTCTGTATAGTAAAACCGCCTCCGTTATAGACATCGAGCGAGAAAATATTCCAATAGCTGTTTCCAGGATTATAAACACTCCAGTTGAGATCTAGATCCTGCATATTCCAAACCCAGATGAGGTTTGTGAGGCCTTTTGTATTGACCAGATAGTCACGGGTCAGACGAAATAAGGCTGCTGTACCACTGGAGCCTGTTCTACCACCCCACCAGAAAACGCCTTGATTCATTTCATGGAAAGGCCTGAATAGAAGTTGAACGCCGTTATCTTTTAAATATTGGAAGTACTGTGTATAGTTGTCCAGTCGCGCTTTCCAAGCTCTGTTGAGATCACCACCGTTCGTGATCAGATCGTTCCACTGTTTGTCTCTAAGACTGCTGACTACTCCATCATCCCACTTGCCAGGTTCCGATTGAGTGTGTGGGACGACGTGCATCATAATTTGAACAATCGCTCCAGTCCTCCACTGATTCAACGCTTCATTAACCATTGACCATCGATTGCTAACATCGCTCGAACTGAAAAGAAGATCTCCACTCCACAGTCCCGACCAACGGCCAGTAATGCTAAAGACTCTATTTGTCTGCATGGCGGGCGAAGAGTTAGGCTCACGGTTATGTATGCCGACAACCGTCTGTTTACCACTGATATTTTGGAGATAATCAAGCACTTTGATCGGTTCGGAACTTGGATCCGTGAACGAGCTCCACACCTCCATTTCCCATAGAGAGTAGCCCCACTGAGTGGCTCTTTGCCAGGCGTACATTTTCACGCACCGTGCACCAACCGACAGAGGGATAGTATTCGTACCACCCTTACCATTGTAATTGGAATACACAGTGGTCCACGTGCTTTCGTCGTTGGAAGTTTGAATCTGAAACATGAGTGCATACGCAGTTTCTCACCGAAGCACGACGCTTGTAATCGACTGAATAGAACCCAGGTCCACGTATATCCATTGTTGATCTGCGTAGGCAGACGACCATCGTGTGCTGCTATTGCCATCGAAGGCCATGCGAGCGGGCCTGTTTGTTACGTCGTCCGCTGATGAGGCGAACGCGGGCTTGTTCAGAGCCACATTGATGCTTGACGCTCTCTTAACCAAAACTTTATCGTGATCCTCGGTGGTTATTGGAAGTTGCTGTAAGAGAAGAAATAAAACACTTAACTTATCGTTTATTCACACATGACGCTACAATACATATCGTAGTAAGAGCATCTTTTTCTCATCACGGCAACCTTCAGAAAATGTCAGGCAGACTTCACTGCAAAACAAGAATTCGGCTCTGTTTTTGATATGCACATTCGATAGGACATACTTGGAAATCTCTTAATCGGCATCTCATTCAAGAGAACACTAAAAGATGAACATGAGAGAATGTGCATGAGACGAAAGGTAAACTGTTTCCAAGTCAGAAATTCTTTAATGTGGTTACAACTTGAAGAGAATTCGATCTTCTGCGAGATAAAGACTGCGTAGTGTTGATCTTGAAGATAGCAGGAGTTCAAACAACTATTTGGCCGCTATGCTGAGTGGTTATATTGTTCAACACATACTACAAGGTACTGTGTTCGAACCTCGGGGCCAGCAGGCATAGAATGACCTTGGACAAGCCATTAATGGCTACTTGTCTCGGATCACCAGTACGATAGCATACTGACTACGTTGTGACATACACCTGCTCTTGTAGCTAGTATGTGGTTAGTCAATGTGTACGGGAAGCTCTAGCGATTGAGCGGAAGGACTTTGCGTCAGCCCAGTTTTCTGTCCAGAGCTGCAGCTAGTAATAGTGGTAGAAAAAATAGCGGGCTAATCGAAACTGTCTCCGGACAGCATCCTGTACCTAAAGGCGGGATATTCTTCTTCTTCTTCTTCTTCAAATAACTGTTTTCTATTTAGCTGTATCTATAACAAGTTGACCAGCGAATAGAACTCGACAATGACTGTCTGGATTCCAATTTTTGTTCCGACCGAATCATGACTATACATGGTGGTAAAATAGACTGCAGTCCAAAACATCCCGGTCTCATGATTTTGTTACAATTGACAGATTCTTGTGTGTTATTCAGAGATTTTTCTCGAGCGCTCGGAATGCTGGTACGAGGTTTCTGAAAGTTGCTAGTATGTCATACAGTTCAGTTCTCGTCGCTACTCATGAGTATAGGCTTCGTTTTCAAATTCGACATTGGAATAACTACGAAAATTGTCGAAGCACTATAACCATGTTCGAGACTGTAGATTTCTTAGAGCGACAAAATCTGTGAACCAAGCGAGCATTATTGAGTTCTAAAAGTCAACTTGTCATAGATAGCGCTAGATACGTAAAAGTCGTTTGAAGGGTTTTCATCTCCTATGATCAGTGCTTTGCAGACCGAATCTCGTAGAGGATTGCACTCTCTTGAAGTCATAACTACAATAGTTCGAATATGGACTCGAACCTTTGAGTAGTTGAACGGTGAAACGTTCTTCAAAAACTAGTTTTCAACGAAGATTTATAGAATTTCTGGCTTGGAAACAATTTAACTTTCGTTACATGCCCATTCTCTTATGCTCAACTTTTAGAGTTCTTGTTACGAGTATGGAAAATCAAGTTCGATACACTCACAAAATTCTTTCTAAATACTCTTACCCAAGCTGAACGAGTAATATTCTTGTCAAGTACAGCTTGAACACGGCTTTCTGCACTGTTGAAGCTCAATAAGAGAAGCAGTGTGCCCAATAAGAAAGACATTGTATCCATTATTGTGACAATATTTGAACAACTGTGTTTATTGACCGAGTCGCCTTCCTAGAAGAGAGATACACAATTTTTTTGACGAAAGAGTAATCTTTTAATTGACTTTTACAACTTTAAAGCTCTTTCTTCTCATCACAGTGGCCGGGTGACGTTGTTTTTTCGAAAGTAGCTGTGAAAAATATTATACTAAAAAACATCTATCTTATATTAACATCATCCCGAACTCCGAATGGCACTAGATGTTATTCAATCGTCCTAATTTTCTCTATCTTTTCAATTTAGACCTGTTTATTCGACACTTATTTATAGCGAGAAATTTCTTTGTTTTTAAGTTGTTTTTGTATGAACAAGGAACATAGTTTTCATATGGACGAACTTCGGATAGAATGTTTCCAATATCACCGCTTTCTTTCTGGAATATAGTGACACATTGTGTTATACAAGGACTTTCTGCGCGCTCTCGAAAAGACTCAGTGATCAAAGTCGCTAATTATAGTTTAAGTTATGTCCCATTAGTGTGCGGTGTTTTAAGAAACGGATTTATGAAATTGATTCTACTTCATTTCTCTTTTCACGTATAATCAAGAATTTTAACTTTTATTCAGTTTAAAAGTAAATTTTCAGGAGTTGACATGAGCGAATAAAAAGATTCTGAACCTTTTATACCATTTCGTTGTCAAGGAGCAAAATTAAAACCCTCAAACGTGCACTTACGATTAAGATAGCCTGTACGATTGTTTAGTGCTTGAAGAGGTAGGATAAGAATGTAAGAGAGAGAAAGAGACGGATTGATGCTTCCTTGATATAATCACGTCAACTGTATAGAGAGGAAAAGATGTGAATTTTGGACCAAACTAAGCATCTGTCATTTTACTCAGAAGGAAAGGCGTACAAGATAAACTCTATATGCTTCTTGATTAGAAAAAACCATATGAAAAGTGGCTTTATGCCGGCGCATGTGAAATTTGATTAAGAGGCATACTTAGTGTGTATGTAACATTTTCTGATTCAGTGACAAAAGTTTTATGTCTTTTGATTGAAGGATTGAATTGATCGATTTCAGTATAAAAAAAACATCATTTGTGAACGATCGGGGCAGTTTCCTCCACAAACAAGTGATAACAAATCGATACGATTTCTACCAAATTGCATCCTTATCTGGCGTCTGACAAGGAAAACTTCTGATGTAAGTAAAATATGAAAGTAATTATTCTTGAATTAAATTAACACATCAGAATAAGCAGCCATGACCGGTTTCGACCTTACTTAGGGGTCTCATCAGATGGCTTTATTCGAATTCATCATCACAATTCTAATACTGCATCTCCTCTATTTTATAGGGGTTGATTGCAGTTTCATTATCATTTTATGATGATGAGTTCGAATAAAGCCATCTGATGAGATCCTTAAGCAAGGTCGAAACTGGTCATGGCTGCTTATACTAATTGTGCGTTTTTGTCTTATTACCACCAGATATATTTTATTAAAAAGACAAGTAACGTTCGTCGATGCGACTCACTTGACCCTCGACTGAATTCATTATATTTATGCTGATTATCTTTGACAAACACATACACGATTGAGCAATCCGCAAATGCCTAGAGATTGACTATTCGTCACAAGTGAAGGATAGAAATCAGATAAATCAGAACGTATTATCGTCCAAATTATTTCTTACAATGGAGATGTTTGTGTTGATAAGCAAAAAGATAAGTCATGTTTTGGTCAAATGAAAGCTCTTATCGCGAAACTAACAAGGTCAAAATATGAGCTACCCTTGACTTGTCTAAAGAGAGATATTCGATTTTTACGGTACTCATAATTTGGGTATATAGAAATATTAGGATCACTTAATTGATTTTTTATGCTATCATCTGAGTATTCCAATAATAGGCTATAAGAATCTTTCTGAAATTTATCAATAGTATTAAGATCACATTAGTTTTCATGTCTTTTGGGATGTAAGTAGTATCGAAATGAAAAAAAAAGATATATGATATGTTTGAAAAATGACTTGTATGTATAATGTTGAAACTCAAAGTGCATTAATGCATCATTGATGGTATAAAAGACTGTTTGGATATTATGCTATTGTTGACCGAGACAAATTGACGACGTGGGATGTGACTAGTGATCATGAGTTGGTTTTTACAAATCATAATAACGCCAATATTATAGTGTAGGAGGGAGAGTTTTAAAAACAAGTAACGCTCGTTCGTGTGATTCGCTTGACCCTCGACTGTATATTCGGCTCTTTGATGTTTTATACTGTTTTACAGTATTCAAAACAGCTAGTATCCAACGTGTCAAAAGAATGGATGGATGTGTGTGTTGATATTAGCGTCAATCTTGTTGTGCATAATGGTATGGGGGTCCGAATGAACATTTTTGCCACAAATATATCTGATCAAATCGATATCCCCATATTTATACTGACCAATAGTCTAAGGAACTACATTATGGCGGCGATATCCATATGAACCCAAAAAACAGATTATATTCAATTTTCTGAGAGGTCACGAAGCAAAACGCATTCACGACACTATTGTGAAACAGTGCCATACTGCTTGAAATTTCTACTAGAAAACTATTGGCTTACCGAAACATCAGCCGACAATATTTTTTACTGGGGTATGCGCTACAAAAATACGGGTTCAATTGAGTTCCTAGCTTAAAATTAATCATACTAGATCTAGTCTTCAATCGAACTGCCATACTTGAAAGAAGCTCCTACTCAAAGTAACCGTCAGATTAGATAGGTAATTTGAATATATCTGTATACATTTCGACACTGGAATGAGTACAGACAAGAACACATACTAGCAGAAAAATTCCCATTTATTTCATTTATATCTACTTCTGATACCATGAATATAAAACCTGTGACTGATGTTTTCCGCCAAATGTAGTATTAAAATATTTTGCACGTGCATAAAAAGCGTTCTCACACTTTATTTCAAAATATAACCCAGTTTTTACCAACTGCTATTCCTTGTTCAAACCCATTAGGTCTAGACTGTTGATTTTTGTTTGATGAATACAAACAGCCTGAAGTGTGTCTTCAAGAGATTTTTTAGTGCATCGGCTAGTCGTTCGTCGGAAACCCTTCGAGACACTACTTTTTTTATTTAGACTTCACCTAATCTCAAATTCGGCTTAATTTGACAAACTATTTGATCTGTAGCACGAGAATTCTCGATGGTAATTTCTAAACCAAAGCATCATTGTGAACTATTTCTGATTTCTTCAATTTCATTCTGTAACTGGAAATCAGAGTTCTATTGAAGTTTCTCATTAAGGAAATATTAGTGAGCATTTTCAAAAAAATCTAACTTTTAAACTTATTTGTCATGAGAGAAATCTGCAGAATGGTTGCAATATGAACCATTAGTCGTTCATTTTACATAAGTGCACTTATGGAAACAGTTTGCTTATTGCTATTTAACATAAAAGATATGACGACATTTTTATACATCAAATTTTTATTACTTTCTTCGAGTTATCGCAACTGGAAATCTCACAAGTTGGAGATCTTCCAAACATACACAAGGTTAAAAAATTGGTTTTTTGTAATAATAATAATAATAATAATAAACAATTTATTGGCATATTCCAGTTTAAGACACTGTTCCATCTGTGTATAGATTTTCTCAGAGCATAGATATAACTATATGAAAGAAGTGGGAGAAATACGCTTTCAACATCAGTTCCATTGGAAAATTGTTAGAATATCTAGCCAATTTTTATCTATTTCTTCCATTGTTTCAAAAGACAGCGTTGTCTCTCTTTGACCATACATGGGTTTTATTATGTCTTTAAAAACTGCCGAGATACGTAGATTTGACATAGAAGTACCTCTAAGTGGAATCACAATGGTATCTTTATAACAAATACGTAAGGCTTCAAAGTGCGAATCACTTCGATCGTTTAGAGTTGTGAAGAGTATTGTTAAGGTGTTGCTAATCTGCTTGTCTTCGCAATTTTTCAAGACATTCTAATAGTTATCTATGCACAACAAATAGCTCTGGTGTCTCTTTGAATCATAGAACACCGGTTCAAATCACCAAGGTTTTCTTACAACTATCGAATAATCGGAACAGATTCCAGTAACATATTAATTGCTATCCTTTTCATTAAATCCATGAATCGCCGCAAACGATCTATGTTAACGAGAAAAAAGTCACTAACTTCATCACTATTTTCATAAAATTGGCAAAATTTGCCAATATTCACTTTCATCTTCTTCTTTTCTTATGTTTAGACACAATCTAAAACTCGCATAAACTATACTTAATTACTGGTACCATTTAAGGATAGAAAAATCTTCTGAACACTGATAGACTAAAAGGGCTTACGAGAGATACTGCAATATCAAAAGACTTACGTCTGCTTGTTGTATTAATACGATGTATATTGTAAAGACGAATGTAATACGTTGATAATGTAATGTATCGATGTTGTTTAGTAAAGAAAATGAAAGCATCATTTTGTTTATGTATACATCGAAAATACGCTTGGCTTGCGTGCATCCAACCGTATACGTAGGATAAAGCATGATCATATATTATTGAGACACACTGGGTTTTTTTCACAAAAATGTTATCATTCTTTTGCTTGTTCTATCACTTATCGATCAGGCAGCTTGAATAATAAGGAAAGAGAGAGAGAGAGCGAGTTAATCGATGGTTGGAAAAATGTGCATAATATTACGGGTCTATTTTTATTTTTCTACCTATCTTTGCATAGGATAGGTAAAATATACAGGCTTTACAAGCAATAGTATGCAGCTTTATATCATTGATCACGTTAAAACCGAGCTCAACAGTCCTTTCTGCCTATGACAGAAGATATTGGCTTCTACTGTTACTTATGGAACCATTTCTTGTCTATACACATATTCCTCGTTAAAAAATCGACATTTGGATGAAGTCTTGTCCTTAGGATCATTTCTGATCCTCACAGGAACTGGGAAGTCACTTTCAACAGCTGCCTCGGCTACCATCGTCATGTGTATCCTTACTTTGATTCAAATTCCTTTTCCAGTCGTTATATTCGTTTAATTTGAAGTTCAAATCATCATTCTGCTACCTATCTTGGTGGGAAGTCAACTTCCAACAGAACTTACACTCTCACCCAACAGAATCAATTACATTATCAACTTCAACCTTGATATCAAGATCTATCAGACTGGTTCTGTTTAGTAGTGGTTCTATCAAGCCAAATCTCTCGTTCAGCTATTACTCATTGTTCTATACCATCCCAAAGTTTTTCATGGAGCAATACTCATTTTTATAACAGTTGCGTTCGATTTTTGTCCTCAGGTGGCATCTTGACAGTAGAATATACTCTCAGTTTGATCATATTCTTTATTAGGGTGGCAGCTTCGAACTTAACTACAATACACATTGTAGACGTGTCTTGGTACCACCGCTTTCGATAGGCTTCGGCAACCGCATCCGATAGTTCTTCAAGTTTCTGTAAGAATCGTTTCAGACGCTTGCGATCCTTTTTTAGCACGAATTCTATCTTACAAATGAACGTTCACAACTGATAAGCACCACTCGCGCCCGTACTTTGTTGGCGGTTGTAGTGCCACTTTTTCTGTTTTGTTTATGTTTTTTTGTCATGCGTTAACTAGGACATGCATTTTTCTACTGAAGATTTGATCACTAACTTATCTTTTTTGGGTCATTTACCCTTAAATTTTTAGTCAAATCTGACTTTGTGCCCGATAAAGAGACAATATCTTAGTTCCAATTTTTTTATAGACACTTTTATTGTTTTCAACGTCAAGCCCAATGGAAATTGCTATGATCTTCTTAAATTTCCTGAAGAGGAAAAGAATTATTAAGATGAAAAAACAATTATAGTATTTTTTTTTTTAAAAATAACTGGAAAAATATACAAAGACAACAAGTGAAGTAAGCTTATCAACGCAGCTCCTTTGGAGCTGAAATGTGTAACTCACGTATGTGCTTCCGAGTTGTTCTCTTAACGCATTATCTGTAAACTCAAAAATAGTTTTTTTCCGAATAATTATGAATGGATTAGAAAATTGTATAGAATCTGAAGCCTTTTGTGTGCGGTTGCTGAGGTCTGTAATGATGGCCTGTCTGTAAAGGGTGATGTTTGTAATAGGAGTATGTCTGTAGTGTTCTCTTCCTCGTTGCAATGTGTCTGTGATTGGATGGGGAGAGGCGGTAGCCGGAAAACCTTGATCTTAAAACTTATACTCAGTATTTTCGAAGAAAATATAAGTGAGTTCCACAATAAAATAAATGCTTTAGAGAAGGTATTGAGAAATGTGTTATATGAATGATATTTTTAAAAATAAGTGCATGAAACAAAGCTTCGACATTCAAATAAAAAATTTTAAAAGGTAGTAGGATACAACAAGAGGGTTCTGTTCCATGGGGCGTAAAGAATAATACTTTTTATGACAACAATGCGTAACATGTTGTTTGTTTCTAATAAAAGAATAATTAGCAAAACTTCGGTTTTGGCTCGTTTGCAAGCAAAGGGAGATTCAACTTAGAATTTATGGATGAATAGACCATATACAGGATAATTTAGTCATTAAGTTTTAAAAGGCAAAAGAAATATTTCCTAGCTTAAATAAGAGACGATAAAAAATTATTCACAAATACTTTTTTTTTCATTATTTTTCTTTTAAGTAAATTATATGATTAAGTTAGATAAATCCAATGATCACAATAGATTATTTTCTATTCTCTATGTCAAAGGTTCATGAAAATGCATTTAAATCTAACTATAGTTTGTAATTAAATTCATCCAATGAAAAGAAAAAAAAATCTATTTTCTATGTCAAAAGTTTATTTCTCATCTCAAAGATTAGTGAAACTAGATTTAAATCTAACCATAGTTCGTAATTAATTTCATGAATTGAAAAGAAAAAATTCTATTCTCTATGTCAAAGGTTTTTTTTTTCATCTCAAAGGTTCATGAAAATGCATTGAAATCTAACTATGGTTCGTAATTACTTTTACCAATTGAAAAAATCTACGTTCTATGTCAAAGGTTTATTTCGCATGTCAAAAGTTCGTGAGAATGTATTTAAAAAAAATTCCAATTTTTTTTTACTTATACTCAATAGTTCGTTTTTCATTCCTAACATTTCTAAAATGATTTCGTAAGAAGTGTGTTAAATCGTAAGCTTTATGAGATTCTTAATTTCAGTAGATGGTATTACTATAGCATTATATACTCATTTCTCAACCCTATATTGTGATCATTGGTTTATCTGAACTATAATACATATAACTTACAAATTTCATTTAATAGTTGTTAGTTGAACAGGTGTAACAATTTTATTTTATATCTCTGATAACATTATTTGATCACAAGATACATTGATATTGATATCAGTAGTTATGTTATGAAACGAATGAGAAACGCACCATTTACAGATTGATTCATTATTGTTAATTAGAAAAATTGATGATATATTAAAGAATTCGACTGTTATGAATTTAAAAAAAATACATTAATATATATTAGAGAAATGAGTCAAAAAAGGAGGAAAAAACGATGAACAGAAGAAAAAGGATGTGAGAAGAATGTGTTGCATCTTTTGGTATATTTACTTTGAACATCAAATGCAATTTAAAATGTAAAAATTATATTAGAAGAAAAGTGACATTTATTTTTATTATAGGGTTTTTATCATGTTGTAATATTTTTTTTATGTCGCATATATCTCAGTTTAGATAAATGATAAAACCTTGAATTTCTTTGTCAAAAGATGCACCGTGAAAAGCTCTACAAAAGCTATATGATTGAATCCCTTTTACCTGTTCTAATTATTTTTCTTATACTCAACCTATGTGATAAAAACCGGAAGGAAATCGGCGGTTTACTGCTAAAATGAACCGGTTAACCAGTTCGCTGATGATCATTAACATTTAGTTGCTCTAAATCATCGATTTTGCTATTTTAATTGTTTTTTTCTTGTACCTTCCCACATCATAAACATGCTCGGAAAAATCGCCGGTTTAATCGATCCGGTTACCGGCTCCCATTATTGCATTTTACCGCAGTAAGCCGCAGGTTTTGATAAATACCGCAATTTACCGCTAAAAACTGTCTGGTATTTGCGATATAGGAAAATGAACAGCTTATAGATGGCAGTATTACTTCGCATCATATAGAAAATATTTCTAGAACTTTTCAGAGTCGCTATCGGATTTGGTCTATACAAGTTTTGTAGAGCTTTTCACTGAGCATCTTTTGACAAAAAAAACTCAAGGTTTTATCATTTATCTAAACCGAGATATATGCGACATAAAAAAAATATTACAACATGATAAAAACCCTATAATAAAAATAAATGTCACTTTTCTTCTAATATAATTTTTACATTTTAAACTGCATTTGATGTTCAAAGTAAATATAACAAAAGATGCAGCAAGTTCTGGGCTTTCTCTCTATATATAGTAAGTTAATAGATAAAAACGTATAATAATAAAAAATAAAAAAATCAAACGGTATAATTTCAATTGTACTCGACTGTGTATACTCTTTCAAAACTCACAGATAAATCGAGCACATTCTTTATTACAAATGAACATTTTTAGAAAAAAGTACTTATTTTTGACTTCTTTTCTTGGCTCATTCCAAAAATCAGCTCAGATTTCGTTTACATTTCAAAAAATACATCCAGAAAAGTTAAAAAAACAAATTCAGAATTTTAAAAAATAACAAAATAAAACTAAAATAATTTAAGAAAGAATACAAAAACAATTTATTTACTCATTTCACTATCTATCTATCTATCTATTTATTTATTTAATATTTGTTCGGTCTTCTTTTTTTTGCTGTATCCACATTCTTAATTCGCCTTTTTCATTTAAATTCATACTCATATTCACACTCTCCCACACTTCATCGACAAAGAGAACAACTGAACATAGTACTTTTATTAATTAATTCTGGTTAAAAATTACATTGTTAAAATAAAAAAAGAAAACGATTAGAGCAAAGGAGTTCTTGTCATCTTCTTCAATTTTTTCTTTTCTAACTGCTTCCACAAAACGTCAATTGTGCTGGATAATGTTGTTGTGCTTGTGTACAAAGACTGCCACCAAGTACTGGTCCAGATTGAAATGTACCAGGTACATTACAGGATGTAGCTGGCATGCCCCAATTTTCATATGCATTCGATGTCCATACACAACAATTATCACTTACTTTTGATTTATATGTTTTACCCTTAAATTGAGTTGCAATTGCTTTTAGAACAGTTTCCGATGCTCTCTTATAGCCACTTGCGCACTGTCCACCACTACCATCGAGATAATAACAGTGATTTGAGTGTGAAACTTCATACTTTGCACAGTTATTGCTATCTTTGTAAAGAGAGAATAGCAATTTTATTTAGAGAACCATCCTTTGGTGCAATGCTCGACTTACCTTCACTGTTGACATTCAATGGTGATGCATTTGATAGAACACACCAAAGTGCAATAGCCAGCAGACAAACAGCGTATGTTGTTAAATTTTTGTAAGACATTATTCACTGAGTGATGTTTGTTGTAAGAAGAGGTTCAAGATGTGTTGTGTTCTAGTTTCACTACACCTTTTAAATATAGGTTAACACAAGAGAAGAAAGTCTTGCACAACAATCTTGAAATCTTTAGTTATCTCTTTCTCTCTCTCTCTCTCTGACACACATACTCACTTTCTAGAGTGTTGTTATCTCACCTTTGCAGCAGAGGATGGGTGTGGGTTTGGGTGTGAGTGTGTGCGGTTTGGGTGTGTGGGTGTGGGGTGTGCGTGTGGGTGTAGGAGGGTGTAAGTGTGGTTGGGTGTAGGTGTGGGTTAGAGACCTGCGAGGAACTCCGAAACCCGATTCCAACTCCGACGGAGCCGGAGTCGGAGTCAGATTTACTGAAAAAATTTTTCGGAGTCAAAACTATAACAACCTCTAATGAGCTTTTACTGTTTGATACTACAATAACTTTATTTTTCATATTAACCCTTTAACGGGCGGTGGGACATATATATCCTACTTTTGTGTTTTTCATTATAGGACTATAATAAACTAAGAACAATGACTTTGGTAGAAAATATTATAATCCTGCATAGCTAAGTTACATAATAAAGAAAATGACGTCATTTAGAGTGTGGCTGTGGGTGTGGGCTTTGTTCTTCTTACTCACATCCACACCCACCCACACTCACACTCACACCCACACCCACCCACACCCACCCACACCCACACCCTCATCCACACCCACAACGAACTTCAAGACTTCAAAGATTTCCACGAACTTCAGCCAGAGAGACTTCAAATTTTCACAACACTTCAAAGACTTCAAAAGACTTACAGATTCCATGAATATCAAGAAACCTTAGAGATTACATGAAATGTCTGTAACATGCAAAAAACAACATCTATCATGTAGAAATTACAAAAGAATTTCTTGTTACTTAGAATTCTTTTTTGTAGCACATCTGTAACTGGAATCTTTTAAGATCATGCAAATAATGTTGAAAAGATGATTCTATACTTCACAGACATTTTAAACACTTGAGGATGTGGGTTTAGGTGTTGGTACGAGTGTGAATGTGGGTGTGGGTGTTGTTCTTTTCTTAACCCACACCCACACCCCACATTTTCAGTCATTTTTCTTATTAGAAACGCCATTGATGATAATACTTTTCTAAAGCAATATCACTCTTTTCATCACTTACACTTAACAGCAAAAAAGAATAGGTGGCTCGCAAGTATATAATTTTAATAAAGAAAATCAAAACTGTATTTCAATGTATAATAGACAACACATCTTGATTTACAATATAGTTCCGTTCATAAACATTTTTTACTTTTACACGTACATATTTTAGTTGTTCGTTTGGACATTTTCACTAACAACGATTTATTTTAATCTGGTACTATTGTAATAGATAGTCCTTAGTAGAATACTTATTTTATGATGCATCACACAGTCAGATCTTTATGGTTTTGTTTCAACCATGTAATATTGATATATGCTAGACGTTTCGGAGGGAGAAGAAGGTTATATAATCGTATAAATTTATATTACAAACAAGAGAACCCGAAGTTTTCTACGGTGGTTACCTAGTATAACTACTGGAGAGTCAGCCCTAAAAAATGACTCCTATAATTGCTTCGAACCATAGGAAAAAGATTCTAAGATTAAAAAAAATTGTGCAAGTTTTTTTTTATTACAGCTGTATATTGATGTTTTCATTGAAGTTAGTATCTTCCTCGTTGAAAAAACAAACTTAGCTAGAACAAAACTACATTGGCAATGTTTGTTTCAAATCTTGATTACAAAGAGTAATACATAACTGGGATTATATAGAACAGTACATAATCTCGATTAACTAAGAAATAAAAATATATTTATAATTGATTAAGTTTGAGCTTCATCGAATTTTTCTATGAGTTCGTTAAAGTGATCTTTAAGTGTTTGCAATTCGTTCTTATCACGTAGACAGTGTGGGTCTGGGTGTGGTTCAACTTGAAGACTCCAAACTACACTCACATCCACACCCACTCCCACCCAGACCCAGACCCACACCCCACATCCACACCATGAATAACTATATGGCTCATCGAACTACTTTTGACGTTTTGAATAGGCAAAGATTGAGGTGAGGATGGTTTTATTCGGATTTTTCGAGAAAAAGACATTTATAGCATTGCAACATAAGTATACCAACCAATAGCAACATCAATGACAACAACGACGGCATGTGTCCATGCATCGAAAATATTATTTTTATTGAATAATTTCGTTTCTTGCATGATTTTTTCTCAGTGACTCTCCCTCCCTTTGTATTCCCAAGATAGTATATGTATTTTTAGTAAAGTAAAATAAACGGAGTTCCTGAACGTGAGCTGGTGCACTTCTAGTTAAAAATAATAAAATGTTTGGTAGACCTTTTTTATTTTGCATATATTTCACCTTCAGAAAACGATAAAATCTTGATTTTTTTCAAAAGATGCGTTGTCGAAAGCTCTACAAAAGCTGTATCAGTAGATCCCTAGTATGCAGCAGAAAAGATCTTCCGAATATTTTTATTATATTTAACACAGTAAGAAATAGCACTAATATGTAGATGTTTCATTTTTTCTATAGGATAACTCATCAAAATATGTATTGCCAAGATTGAGTTGTATAATTAGAAAAGAAATAGAATGATTGAGTCAATACGACATTCTGTTCTATGTCTGGTTTTTATATTTGGGCTAATATCTGAATGATAGAGTCAATACCATTATGTTATAAATATTTTCATATTCGAGTCTTCACAAAGCATCTTCTTCAGTTTAATGGAATAAAAAGAAATATTTTATAAAGAAAACCTATGACTAAATGAAAACTATGTTCATCATACGTACAATCTTTTCTTTGAATTCTCTTGTTAAACATCGTTTCTCTTTATTTTATCTCAATCGAATGCCATATCTCATTTTCATAGGCTTCAATGAAAGATGTTATTTTCTTAGATAATCGTCTTTGACAATCTATCATCAAGATAAAGTTACGCTACACAAATTTGTGTGACAGTTCACAAGACAATAACCAAAGTATACGCATATTATATCATGATTTTTTTGTTCTGAAAAATCATATCAGATCAATATTAACAAGAATCATCATGACCGTGTAAGACCATATCACTATATTCTTTTTTCATTTTCTCAAAAGTATTAGCAATAATAATGAACAAATGGGGCATACAAGTCTTAAAATATCTAAGTTATCTACCAGTAACGTTAATGTGAGTGTTCCAGAAAACAAAATAATTCATATTTTTTTCATCTATTAAAGGGTTATATCAAATCTTTTATGTAATGTAGAGATGCGACGTTGATATACCAATCTTTACTATCGATATTTTTTTTTATATCGTGACTAATTAACATAGTCTTTGGGAGATCTGGACCGTAAAAACCTCTTTAGGAACAGCTATAAAGTAGACCTATGTAGCCGGATGTTGTATTATCATGTCATTATTACCACTGTTTTCCATTATAATGCATTATAATGTCAATAATTCCATGATAATGCAACAGCCGGCTACATGGAGAGCTTGCTATTCTACACTCAGGAGAGAAATTTAATCCTCCTTGAATGACTCTAGCAATTATATATTTTTGGCAGTACTTTATAAAACTGTCCGTTGACACCTAAGAAATAAAAAAAAACAATGAACTTCCAGTACAGTTTTTTTTTGATACTTTACTAAACAAAATATTTTCCATTTCATCACATATAATGAAGAAATTTGAATTAGAGAAAAAGAAAAACTAATAAGGGATTACAACATTCTAAATAAAAAGAACACATGAAGCACAACAAATTTGTTTTGACAACTTCTTTTTGAAATATTCTCATGAATGACTGAAATGTCACACTTATGCAAAGATGATATGTTTAAAACTAGTGCATATATAAAAAGGAATAAAGCGTCAACTAATACAAAACTTAAAAGAATCAGAAAACGAAATAAAATTTGACTGTAACCGTTTATGTATTTGCTCGTGTGATTTTAGTTATTAATTCAGTTACGGTCTGTACTGCAGCCAGTTTAATTACATCTGTAGTTTTGAATAGAGCAATCATAGTAGCTGTTGTTGAGATGTCAATAAATATAAAAGCAATACGAAAATGATATTTTGGTATAGTTGTAAAAAATGACATTAAAATAAATATTGCATATGGTAAACCAAGAATGACAAGAATAGTTGAGATTGTAACAATATTTCGAACCATTTTTAATTCTCGTTCAGCACGAGCTAAGACATTTGCAGATGTTACTCGTTTATTCATGTCACGAACATATCGAATTAGTTTAATATAAATTATATTAAGAATCATATTTGGAATTATATAAATAACAAGTGCAATATAAATTATGGCAAACGAAAGTCGAATAGGTGCTTGGCATATCTGATTTTCAACATTATATTTTATATAATCAGTAAATAAAAATGGTATAAAGGCTACTAGACCAAAAATCCATGTTATAATAATCAGACAAAGTTGAAGTCGGCATGATTGCCAAAAGATACGAGTTGGATATACCACAGTAACATATCGATAGATAGCTTGAAGATTATAAGAATGATTTTGTATAACAGTCATACTATAATTGATGTAAGCTCGAAAAACGCATAATGAATCTTGATATTGAATTCGTTTTAGGTCATTGTCAAGTGTAAATGCAGCTAAGCCTAAGGCAGTACATACACAGACGAGTTCACTAAGGCATGCGTTGGCCATCAACATCATTGGTGCAGTTCGAGGTATTTGCTTAGAAGCGATAATAGCCAATAAGATCAAAGCAATAACAATCGTCATGATGATACATACAATTCTCAAAATATCCATAGGAATGTACCATGGTTCAATATTTGTTATACTCGAATTATTATCAAATGTTGCCATCAATTTTATTAGTTCTTTGAAAAAACGAGTGTAAAAATAGTGAATAATGAAGAGATCAAGTTTCTTTTTTCTATTTATTGATGTGTAATCTCTAAAAGATTTGAAAATATTCATGGAATACGTTCATGATTTTCCGCTCTCAGCTAATTGAACTTACCCGCAATAATATTGAACAGTAACATAGAAAGCACTATAACTAAAATTAGATTTTTTGCATACAAATGGTTAAAAATCTAATCATGAAAAAAGATATTAGCATAAAAAAAAACGTTGCTCAATATTAATAGACAGAAATTATCGGTGTTCAACTCCGATCGAGTCAAAAAAGGTTTAGGAATTCCGAACTTCACATAAGAAAACCAGCGATTTTAGATGAGATAATGATTTCTTTACTTCGAATATTGACAGAATATGTATCGATTTACTGAGAAGATTGTCAATGTCTAAAAAAAACTCACTTTGATTAGCCAAAAACTATTGCTCATCTCGGGTTGGGTTACGGAAAAAATTTTTGAGCTCAGATCGGGTCGGATCAGACTATGTTCGGGTTGAGCCGGGTCACAAAAAATTGACCTATGTCGGACACTGGAAATTATGTTTGTTCTTTGCTACTTTATGAAAATAAAAAGTAGAAATAAAAGAACACTAACGAGTTCTATAAATAGAAACAGATGACAAATTTAACGAAAAACCTATTATACATTATCACGCTTATTAGAGTGCTCGTTTTTAATGAAGTATAAAAGAGTAAAAAATGAACGAGTTTAGTGCAACAGAATCTGGAATCTGTCAAAACCTTTTGGACTACACCGAAAAATGAAAGCAGCTGTTTCACTTTTCACTCTCAAATGAAACAGTCAGAAGTAGAAATCAAAATGAGCAACTGTAAACTAGAGACCTTGAGATCTTTTAAATATCAAGGTTTTATATGGACATATAAAATGTTCCTTAAGTCCACGGCGAAGAAATGCCTCAAGCATATCCAAAATTCTTACAGTCAGCTAAAATAGCTTCAACGTAACAAACACGTTGCTGCGCAAGTATTTAGAGCGCATTCTTTTGCTCACTCATTTCCGTTTTTCTTTTTGCCGTCAAATACACCAAAGGAGCTAATCCGAAGAAAATACAGAGTTGAACTTCGACTAATACATAGATGTCCATTTATAGAAGCGGAGGACATTTTTAAGTTCATTAGAACGCTTCCTATTGATCTATATGCGTGCAAATACATACAAAAACGATTAGCAAGAGTAGAGCATACATATTTCGGCCGCTCTTCATACTATGAGGATATGCTCTACTAACTTAGGACTCCTTCTTCAACACGAAATGAAATGGAAAAGGAAAAACAGAAAAACTAGGAATTGATCACCTATTTCAGCTGTCATGAGTGCAAAAATGAAGGATAGACATCAATCATACTTATGGGCATGGCTTTCCTTCATAGATGAATGTATAACAAAGATAACTGCCATCACGTCTGGCTAAATTACATTGCTTAAAAACCCGTCCTCTCTTTCTCTCTTTTATCTGCCTTCTTATGTCGTTATTCGTCCACTGTCTCCTCGCTTCTTGCACTCTTCATTTACTTGCTTTTCTTTTTTCTTATCCTCCTTTTCTCCTTTTCTTTGTTTTCTTTTTCTTGCTTTCCTTTTCTACTTTCTCTTTCTACAGAATGCATAAAAATGCTTTTCCAAGGGGTGATACTATGATTTTAAACAGCATCAATTACAAATTTTATACCAAATGAAAGCGCTTGAAAAATGGGATTTATGAGTATAATAAGAGGAATTCTTATCTATAAAATTACTGAAATGTTTTGGATTACATGCTAAAATGCATCCATACTTTATGGTTTTTATTCTTCATGTACATATATTCAGAAAAATAATAGCAGATTCGTAATCTCCATCAAAAGCTGCATCGACTGATAGGTTAAGAGGCTCCTCCCTCAGAAAATCCAATTTTTCGAAAAAAGTGTTAGATTGAGTTTTTATCATAGGAAGATGTCCCACGTTCTCCTCTTTCAGAATACATATAGCTTTCTGGAAAAAGACTGAATTTTGACAGACTTATTGCAAAAGTTTCGGCCCTTATTTCCATATTCGCAGCTAAGTTTTCGGAGAAATTTTGGTGATTTTTTGGTTTTTGTATAAGTAGAACTCGACGACGCCTATCGATTTCAGGGGTTTCTTTTCACTCTAGACCCCCTCTTACACCCCAAAAATCCCAAATACCATCAAAAATTCAATAAAAATCTGAGAAATAGCCTCTCGGATTCGCTGCTAGTCCGATTCCAATGGAACCAATACTGGTTCTAAGTAGAACTCGACGAGGTTTCTCGATTTCACGACTTGTTTATCAATTCTCATTGTGTTTTGACTGGAAAAATTGCTAGTTTCTATACACTATGCTACATATATACACAGAAATATCAGGTACTGACTGATTTCGTTCAACCAATAGAGGTACGAAAAGGAAAGATGGCGCATTCTTCAATTGGAAATATACGTAGAGAGAGAATAATGAAATTCCATTGGTTGATACATTCAAGTAATAGGAAAACACAATGATAAATGATGGTCGGTATATCTATATGGCCTGATCTAGACTACACGACGAATAATGAATTGAAGTTGAATCAAGCAACATGATTAGTGCATTAAGAGTTAAATCATCTTTGCATGTAGTGGAATGAATGATGTATGTGGGCACCGTTTAAGGGAAACAACCGTTTAAGGGAAAATACGGACACCATGATAGAGGCACAAATGTTAAATCTAATTGGTTGCATGAATTGGAACACATCTCGGTGTATTAAATTACTTTTAAAAATATGTCAATAATTGAAAAAAAATAAATTAATACAGAATTTTTTATAAATTTAAACAGATGTAGCTTGTCATCGAGGCATTCCATTTTGCCAAAAATTCGGGTTATCCTATGAGACAAGTCGACTTATCCTACAGGATTCGTCACTATTTTCAATTGAGACATTTACACTTGTTCACTTAGTATTTTGACTTATCCTATAGGGTAAGTCGACTTGTCTCATAGGATAACTCGAAATACTGGAAAAAAGTAGTTCAGTCACGAGAGTCGACTTATCTCATAGGATAAGTCGCTTCTTTTAACTGAAGTATTTTTACTCACTCAACTAGTATTTCGACTTATTCTATGAGATAACTCGACTTGTCCTATGAGATAAGTCGCCTCGTAGGTTTGAGCAAGTTATTCTTAATATTTCGAGTTATCTCATGAGACAAGTCGACATATCTCATAGGATAACTTGAATTCGGCACTAAACAAATATCTCAATCAAAACACAGGAGTAAATCGGTAGAATAAGTTGAACATTTAAATGTGATCTTAAAAATCTCAAAAATGAATATATTATGATAAAAACAGAAGTAATAATACATAATTCTATTTTTCAAAAGTCCATATATTCTATTTATGGCTAGCTTTTTGTGCTAAACCAGTCACCATTGAATGATTCCATGTGCCTCTACAATGGTGTCCATATTTTCCCTTAAACGGTTGTTTCCCTTAAACGGTGCCCACAGATGTATGTGAAATTGTGATAGCACAGTGAAAAACAATGATTGGCTGTTTGTTTGTTTGTAACCAATGATGTTTGAAAAACGAAAAATGTCGCGTTTTGCCGTACTAACATATGGTATTGTTAGGGAAAAGAAGATTGATTGCAATATAGTGTAAAATATTTGATGGAATTTTTTTGAGCAGAAATAAAAATAAATAAATAAAAAAGAGAAAGTTGTGTTGTGAAAGAAAATATTATTTTATGTATTCAATTCTAAAATGAAAACGTCAGTTTCGGAGCAGACAGAGATAATAATTTTGTCATACATTTTTTTTTGTAAATATACTGAAATGTTTTGTTGAAATGATGCTTGTATACATTTGATTTTGTATTTTTTTTTATTGTTTGATGTTTTAGGTACTAATGCTTTGAAAGAAAATATTCTTTTTAGTTATTGAATTCGTAAGTGATAACGTCAGTATCACAGAAGAGAGAAATAATGTTTTTAGACACATTTTGTTTAAATATATGGAATATTGTGTTGCAATGATGCTTATATACGTTTGATTTTGTATTTTTTGATTGTTTGATATTTTAGGTATTACAGCTGTAGAAGAAAATATTTTTTTTAGTTGCTCAATTCTTAAATGATAACATTAGTATTATAGAAAATAGAGAGATAATCATTTTTTAAACGGAGAATTTTTTTATGATTAGTTTCCAAATCAAAATATATTTTATATGTTGTCAATGTAATTACATTACATTTTGAATAATGAATTATCCGCATAAGATTGTTCTTCTTTCGAGTCTTCAGATATTCATCTAAACGTGCCCTGTGGTAGTTGCTTTTATCTTTGAAATAAAAAATTATTAAAAATAAAGTCTGATATCGCAGAGGAAAAGTAAGATGCGAAGGAGAAGACTTTCTTTTTTCTCGGCACGATTATCTAAAAGATAGTATCTTCCTTTGCTTTTGATGATCCAAATGGTATAGCTGATTGAATAGATGGATGGATATAAAATGAAAGAGTTATTTTTCTCACCGGATTTCGTTGGATAATTTTTTTTTATATGACAGTGTTGTAATTTCTATTGGTCAGTTTGAAATATTTTCTAATAGTGATGAAAAAAAAACATCTTTCACTCATTCTCAGTTAATCACATTGATAGAAAACAAATATTTATTCCATCACAAGTTCTTCCACTGTTTTTAACTAAACTGGTAAAATTGTTTTCATTACAATTTAATTATATTGGTATAGTCAAACGATGTCTAAATCAAATTCAAATAAAAAAGGTAAGAGTATCTGATCGGTTATTAATGTGGAACAATTGACTGCTGCTATTGCTTCTCTTGGCGATCGTATTAATCAACTAGATCATGAGACTTGGCGATTAAACGCTGAAACTAAATTGTCAACTTCTCTTTGGGCTCAAGTTATCAAAAAATTAGGAATTGATAATACTGAACAAAGACGCAACTCTTTGTACAATATCTGGCATTTAAAACGTCATAAAATTGTTCAACTTGTCGAAATAGAATTAAAAAGAAAAAACAGAAATATAATTGATGGAGATGATGGTGATATTAGTCGAATAGAAGAAGTATCTGTTCGAGAGGATAATAATGCACATTTACTACCTGATCCATCATTGCCTTTACCTGAGCCGCCGAATACACGTACTAAGCAACCAGGAACTATCAATGGTAATAATACTGAATGTTCAATCGTCAGTGAAACATCATTTATTTTGACGCCAAGTGAATGGAAGGCTGCATTTAGTTGTGCACAAAAAAAATTGAATGATGGTTGGACAAAGATATTTTACGACAAAATAATTCCATGTGGAATTACATGTTCGGTAAGTTTTAACAGAGCATATGCCAAAAAAGGAGAAAGAAAACGGCGATGTAAATATTTTTGGTGTCGTGCTAAGTGCACTGGTAAGTATTGTACTAGATCATATTTAATTAAACTGACAGATCAAGCGGACTTCAACACATCGCCAATATTACATGTGCAAATCTCAGGTACAGAAAGGCATGATGCTAAAATTGAAACAATGTCACGTCAACTTTGTGGAGAGGAGCGCTATCGTGTCGGTAAAAAGTTGTAGTATTTATTACACTCAGAAATTATATTGTTATGAAATATTTGTTTTAGGAGAGCGAGCAAATGAAATTGGTCCTTTAGCAGTATTTCGTGAACGTGTAGAAGCTGCTGATGAAAATTTGCTCGCAGAAGGTAATTATACTGGATGTGAAACAATTGAAGTATTAAAAAAAACAGTAGCTGATTACCGTAAAAAATATCAGATAGACGAAAACATTTTCACCGCATGTCGAATTGTTGCTTCTGCTTATTGTACAGCGGATATCACGTCCATCAGTGTGAAAGGTAGGCGTGTGATATATAAGATGGAAATATGTTATCAATTATTTCTTTTATTTTTTCAAGGATACGTTCAAGTTGTAGGTGAAATGCCATTTTGTATACATCTATTTTCAGAACCACAAATTGAACTATATGTCAATTATTGTAAGGAAGAAAAATATTCATATGTTCATATAGATTCTACCCGTGGTGTTTTAAAACACATGTCTGGACAAGACCAAACATTGCTTTATGCAATTATTTTCAAAGATGGAACTGATTCTATTAATACTATTCCGCTTGCACATACATTTCTTTCAAATCATACGGTTCCTAGTATTATTTATTTCTTAGGGAATATAGTCAATGAAATTATCAACTTAAAAAAAATTAATTCGTCCTTCTTTTTTTGTAATTGATTTTTCTGCTGTCCTGATGAATTCTATTCTTCAAGCGTTCAATGAAGAAAATGTTAATACTCATTTAAATCGATGTTGGAATGTTTTAAATCGAAATTATAACACTGTACAACTGCGACAATTATCATTTATACATCTATTTTGTTCTCATGCAATCAAAGTTATAGCAAGAAGCTTAAATGCTGCACGTATAGATAAAAAGATTCGACGAGGTGTATTACATATATTTGTTCTTATTTTATGTGGCAATAATCTCAATCAATTATATGATATCCTTGGCTTAGTGATTAATAATTATATTCGGTGATTCAAACGAACAGAACGCAAAAAATAATTCGAAAAAATGCTCTCTCTTGAATTAGATATTGATGAAGAAAGTGTTACATTGTTATTTGATCACAAGAAAACACTAAAAGAAGCGAAAAAGGAAAATGATAAATTGAGAGTTGTAGATGAATATTTTCGTTCTAGTACTGCTATTATTCATCAATCACCTTTTAATGTAGAAGCTATTCAACGTTATCCTCATCTCAAAACTCTTATTAATAACAAACTCAAATACGATAAAATTGTTAATCCATTATTCTCTCCACTACTTATACGTATTTTTTATCGATGGTGGGCATATTTACCCTTATGGACAGATTTATTATGGAATTTCGAACAACGATATTCGAATAGTCTTCAAACGAATGCATCTGTAATATATAATCCTATTCGTCATTCGAATGCACTTGTTGAGAATTATTTTCGCACACTTAAAAGTAGCATGCTTAAAAATAAAGTTGCTACTCAACCACAGAAAATAATCGCAGAACTATATCGAAGCGTTCAAATACAACTTAAAGCTATTAAATATGAAGTAACACAAAGTTCAAAAGGTAGAAAACGAAAAATGAACAGAAATTGAGACTGGAGTAAAAAAGGTATTGGTAAGAAATGTCGAAATTTATATGGGAAAGCAATAGATACATTCCAGAGATCCGATACTCGCTGAGTTTCCCCGCCTCGCCTCGCCTCGTCCCGCCGCGAGGCGAGGCGGGGCGGCATTCTTCGCATCCGGGCGAGTACGAGTTGATCTTATGACTCGGCGAGTCGACTCGCCTACTTCCAATATGATTTTTTGGCGAATAATGAAAAAAGTTCTTACTAATAATAAGTCAGTAAGATGCATATCTTCAATTTGATGACGAGCACGGTCACGAATAAAGCAAATATCTTAAGTAACTTATTGAGCTTGATTTAATAGACGATAATTGTTTTAAGTTTTGGTATGAACATCTGTTCATTTATCCAATATTATTGAAGGTTGCTCGATTAATTTTTTCAATTCGAGCAACTACAGTTAATGTCAAGCGCCAATTCAGTGTCGATGATTTGATGGTCAATTCTAGACGTACTCATTGAAATCCATAACAAGTTAACAATAAATTGTTTATACGTTCAGTAAAAAATGAATGATTTCTATTTATTTTGATCTCATTTTATATTTTTGGTTTGTGAACCTATTTATATGTAACAAGTGAAGCTTGTTAAATGGCTACGCTTTCCGTTTCAATTTTCGATCACTTAATACGTTGCATTAAAAAAACGAAATCTATCATAAGATGCAGTATGAAAAGCTCTATAGCTTACATAAGATAGATTCTTTCATAGTAACACTTTTTGTCTTGAAAATCGACAAAACTGTGAGAGATCCAATTTCGATGCTGCAAAAGGTGGTCACACAGTATTTTGTTCTTTTTTGAATATAAGAAGTACAATATTAAAGTAAACTTTACATTGTAGACTGTAGAGTTTGTCACGCTGCACATTATGATATATTTTATTTTTTCAAATAAAACATATCAGGTAATAAAAAATCTCAACTAAGAAAAGAAAAGAATGAACTTTCTGCAGCGTCTAAATCTGATCCCTCAGATTTTTGTCGATTTGCAAAACATAAAGTGCAACTATGAAAGAAGCTGTCTTATATAAATTGTAGAGCTTTCCACACTGCATCTTGTAGCGTATTTTATTTTATTACTATAACGTATTAATTGATTGAACATAGAAATACAAAGGCGTAACCATTTATTCTGCCTCATCCATTATTTGTTGTACTATATTTGATCTTACGAAATAAAAAGATAGTAATTGTTCTGGATGAATGAGAAACTGCCTCAAAAAATCTTTTTTATGATAGATGTTAGGCGAGGCGAGGCGAGGCGGTGGCGAGTCGAAGGTTGAGAAGGCGAGGCGA